TCTAGGTGTGTATTTTTATTATTTGTAGTCACATTCCCTAATTTAAATTCAGATTGTGTAAGCTTAATTGCTGGGATTTTTCAGAATTTTTCTAAGAATTAAGGTAGCCTTGGGTTTTGTGATGAAAATGTGCAACATGTTTACTGTTTAATCAAGTATAAACTGTTGAATTACAAAAGTAGTTCTTGTTTTGCACAGTAATTCTCTTAAGAATTATTTTTACGTAAGCTTCATTTATAACATAATGTGATCTAGATTGTATAGCAAACTTTTAATAGTTGAATATGAAATGGTGTGCATTTGGGAAACAGTTGCTAAGGCTATACTACTTAACTTTTGGATATACATATGCTTTCAGTATTTATTTCGGAGCTGGGGAGAATGTTACATAACATGAGGAAATTTGTTTACATTATACTTTGTACATTTCTGAGAGCATGTAATGATGGGGGCTCATGTTCAGCAAGAAGTTTTATCTGTATATGCCTTAATGTGTTGCTAAATCAGAGTGGAATTATGCACTTGTTTAAAGTTTTGTGTGAATATACATTTTAAATAGTGTGCTGTATTTCTAATGAAATTCCAAGGAGAGAAGAATGTGTTCAACTCCATTAAATTGTTATCAGTAGTTTCACAGTGCCATACAGTAAAAGCAATGTTATTTTCATGCTAATTTTATTACTTGTAACTGAGGTTAAAAAAAAGAGTTGTGGAATAAGGTTCTGAAGACATTGGGCCATAGATGGTAATTAGGTATAAAAAATACTCGTTTTCAAACCTTGAATATATTATTTTGTTTGAATACTGAATCTTGAAGAATTATTGCATTACATGGATGCAAGGATATTGCCCAGCCTGTGGTTTCACTGTGATGATGACTGACTTATATTGTAGCATGAACTGCTGCGTGCTCTGTACAGGCTTTGGGTAGCAGTCCTTTTACAGTAGTGTCCCATCCCCGCCCCCTCCCCAAAACCACTGCGACAGTTCAGCGTCCTAACTTTTTTTTCCCCTTTAGATATGTTTTGTTTTTAAAGGAGAAAAAAAAGATTTGATTTTTTTTTTAATTTTTTTTTTTTTTTTTTTACCTAATGCAGCAGCTCAATTTATCTACTCTAGACGAGACACACCGGCAACATTTGCTGAGCCGTTAGAGGAAGAATATGTCTGTGAAGGTACAGATGATACTGCTGATTGTTTTACATCCAGTCATCAGCTGACTGAAGTTGACAGAGGTAATTATAGAAATTAAATAATTCCCAGAACAGTCTCTTTAATGAATTAGGGACTTAATAAAATGGTCCTCAGTGAATGTTTGTTACTTGACTGACACTGCTCACGATTTTCTAATCTTTGTTGTAGAACAACACTTTCATGAGCATAGCTTCAGTGGTGATTCTTCAAGTTTGTGACTACCATTTGTATACTACTTGTAACTTGATTGCATACATTGAAATATGTTCTTAGTTTCTTATTAGAAATAATGAGATTTGATACTAAATTCAGACAGAAGAACAGCAGTACTGGCTCAGGCCAAGCATCCATGTAGCTCAAGGTGTTGGATCCGCAAATGCATGCTGAAGGAAGAGTATTAGAAACAGAGTATTTGTAGAATGATCTTTTGCATGTATTGCATTCCAAATTATGGCAATTAGCAGTATTTGAGAGGTTTTCAAAGTCACACATTTTCTTGAAAATTAGCCAGTATCTTTAGTTAGCTGTATCCTCTACAGTTTTTTCTTACCCTGTTTTGAATTCATAGGACTTCGGTTTCCATTCGGTCCTGCACCCGTGAATTCCATGTTAGAAGCTGAGTTCTGAGCTGAATGGTTGGGGAAAATATTTTTGTTTTTGAGACTTGCTGCCTGATAGCTCATTTACATGCTTTGTGATAAAGATTCACAAGTCTCTTTCCTAAGTATTAACTTAGCTTTTAATATTCTGGAAAAAATCAAGGTTATTTTTGAAATGTTGATAAGCTCAGAGTAAAGCGTGTTCTTGAGTGAATATATAATAAAGTGTGTGAATGAAATTTGGTATTGAAAACAAGTTGCAGAAAATTCAGGAACAATAGGTAGAATAGAAATAATCTAGATTCCATGTCAAGTAAATTGGTAGAAGCTGTGATAATGCATAGACATATGGGTAAGTATGATAAATTGGGGTGTAATATACATGTCTTTACAGGAAATAATGCTGTAGAGGGCAATTTGAAAGAATAAGGCAGTATATGGATACAGGTGATCAGACAATATGGTACCCTGGCTTTTCAGAATGCTTTTGACAGTCTCAATCAGATAGGAATTAATACTGGAAGAAAGAGGAAAGTAATATTCTGAACTAAAAAAAGATGAATAAGAAACCTAGAAATAACCATTTCTACTGTGAAAACAGCAGTGGTCTCACAAGAACTGTTATGCTTGATATAGTGTGCAGTCTTGACCATTAATCAAAGTTATTGATTGCAGTCAGTCTGGCTGCAAAGAGTTTGGCAAGATAGTCCTTGTTGAGTCTTGGGTAATAAAATGGCCAGCCAGCACATTGTGCAGGGCTCTGCCAGTACAGGTTTTGCAGAGCAAATGTCTGGGGAACATTGACTCGCTATTTGGATTATGAGTCAAGGGTGCTGATTTAAGTAACCTTGAGAAAGTTGGAATTCTGTGGTGCTGAATTCTCGTAGCGAAGTTCTTTAAATGTCACCATATTTGACGAGGTGTTTAAATAAAGAATCTATAGTTGTCTTCCTGTTGTTCAGTTCCTGTTTTTTAAAGTTTGAGCTGACAGAAACTGTGATGTTTAGGAACGTTTTCTTCTCTTCTGTTGTGTTTTTATGTCTGATCAGCACACTACTTCCAGTGAGTGGCAGCCTGGTGAATTGTCAGTCTCTTGTTGTGCAGCAAGTCAAGACTTAAGAAATTTAGTCAAGGCTTATACTAGTTGTAGAATTATACTCCAAAGAAAATTGATTGTATCAGCCAAGAAATGTATTACAGTTTTAGGAAATGTGAAGATTGCAGGTAGTGTCAAACTTGGTGTGTTCATCCAGAATTTTCAGTTGTTCAGGCCTGAGGCTCCTGAAAACGCTGTTTTACTATGGGTGTTAATTATAGCATCTGTAAACACTTAAAATATGCCGTTCAGTGGGATTCCATGTTGACTTACTGAATTGCTTTGGATAATTTTAAGATGATGATTTCTATTCTCTGCAATGAAGAAGATTAATTTTACAAATCAAAGTATTTCAATATAGAGACTTTATAGACTAATAAATAGTAGTTAGGGATATGTTCTCTAATCCCAATCCCAATATCTGACATTAGTCAAATATTCTGGAAGGTTGCGGGGCAAAATTTATCACGGCAATTAGTGAGATTGAAATTAATTTCTAAAGGTTTTATCTCTTACTGTGATATTTTTCTCCTGTTTTTGTTAATCAGATGTGTGGTGCTAGCAGTTAGGCCGCTTAAGACCTTTTTTTTGTGCAGCTTATAACAATAATATGTCTCTTTTAGCCCGTCTTAATTCATGCCTTGATCAAATGAGAGAAGTTTTGGCAGAGTCTGTACCAGAGCAAACAATGGTGCAAGCAGTACTGGATAGTAAATTTGATGTACAGAAGGCTTTGGATCTTGTGCTTTCACAAGGCAGTAAGCAAAATGTGAAGACCAAGAATGAGGATGCTGTGATTGTAGGAAAGACGACGAAAGGTATACTTCTGTTTAATTGTTTACATTCAAGATGATTCATTTCTACGTACAGTTTAACTTTGGCTTTACAAGCTGTGAAGATGCTTGTTATTGCATTAGTCATTTATTAGAAAACTAAAAAAGACCAGCTTACTCCTCTGTTTCTCTGTCCTAAAAACAGCTAAAGGAAACAGGTTTTCTTGAGCTAGAAGTTAAAATAAAACCTTAAGTGTCAGCTTAAATTCAAACTGCAACCATCTGCAGTTAACAGTAAATTTCTGATTTCTAATATATGCCTTAACTAAATGAATACATGTTCTAAAAGTTGAACCACATCTCCCATCCCCAGTACCTCCCTTTTTTTGGTAACATCTGTACAGTAACTTTCTTGCTTTGATTTATGCTTATATCTTCGTAATCTTTACTGGCATTCTTTGCTGTATTAAAGTTTCATAGGCATTTCAGTAGATATCCATAATTTAATTGTAGAGCATTATGTATCTTTGGATAACACTTAGTAATTAAATGCCTTTTTATATTTCTTCTTAATTTTTTTGTTGCTGCTGTCAACTTTAAAAAAAAAATGGATGTTTTGTTGTGACTGCGCTTCCATCTGAAAATTATTGGCTATTGTAAGGTAAGGAGACTTACTTTGTTGTCCAGAAATGTGCGTTGATACAGACCGTTTCTCTTGTGCAGTAGAAAATGTTGCTGACAACACCAACAAACCTGGGTTTGGAAACTTGACAGCCAAAAGTGATTCAGCTTGTTACTCTTTAATTATAAATGACAAAATGCTCCTTAATACAGAAAAATCCAGTATACCTTCATCTGAAAGGAAAGGATTGAAATCCTCTTCACTTGTTCTGTCATCATTTTTCGGTGATGATTTGTGCAAAGGATCGTTTCGTGAACCTGTGAATAAACAGGCAGAGAATCAACTACCAGAAAGTGCTAATGCAGTAAGTTCGATTCGTGACAGTGAAGATGTTCACTTTAGCATAGGAAGTAACCCATCTGGAAATTCTTCTTTTAAGAAATTGGAATGCAAGGAAAGACAGGACTTGAAATCCTTGCTGATGCAAAATGTGGTTTGTAATTCTCTGGGTCCTGAAGACAGCATTCCTCTTGTTTCCTCAAATACTTCTGTTTGTAATAGTAATGCAAATTTTTACAGTCCTCCATGTTTAACAAGTGCTTTAGGAAAACTGGCTCTTGATAATGAAATCAGTCATACTGTAAATAGAAAGAATGATCTTCTTGACAATTTTTCTTCACTTGTGCAAAGTAGAGAACAAGAAGGCCCCTCTTCAGACATGGCTGCTTTGCCAGTGTCAAGATCTGGAAGTACATCATTGGCTGACTTGCTTCAGGAGCACCAGGAAAACAGTGCTAGCCACTGTTATTCTTTGGCTGATCTTTACACCCAGTCAACAGCAGGTCTCACTGATATGAAATTAGGAACCTCACCATTATCACAACTAGTAAGTCAACCCCAAACTTCAGGTGGGATGCCAGAGCTAACAGGATCTTTGTCTTCTTTAGCCCTCTCTAAAGTGTCTCCACTAAAGGAGGTTGAGAATTTATCACTCTTGGATTTAATAGCGGAGACTATTGAAATAGATAAAACTCAGCAAAGGACAGACTTCCCCATGCTCAGTGCAACTGAATTGAAGCCCTCTAAAAGAACCAGCATTGATTTAAGTGTCCTTGTGAAAAATGCAGATGTATCTGCAGAACAAAATGTGGAAGGACGATCAAATATCTTAAGCCCCGCAACTAAACTTTTAAAAGAAAAGCAAGGAAAATGTTCTAGTTTTGCCAAAACAAATAAAAAACCCAGGAGAGGGCTTAATCCTAAGACGCAGGATTTGTCGCTTTCCTGGATGAAGGCGCTGCGTGCAAGACCTTCAGCTTTTGCTTTAACCTTGTGTCTCCGTTATCCTCCCAAAGGTTATAAGCGGCATGCAATTGGTATACATAAAGCTTTCTTATACAGTAGACAAGTACAAGATGTAAAACCCAGGGAAACTGCTCCTGTAATTGCCATAACACCATTTGACTTCAAATCAGCGTCTCCTGATGATATTGTGAAAGCTAACCAAAAAAAAGCTTTTACAAGAGAGTAGAGGGTGGGGGGAGAAAGAGTCAGTGTTTGTATCTTGTTACTATATAAAAAAAAAATTATATAGGATCTATTTATAATCCAGAAAAGATTTTTTTTATTTTTTTAATTGACATATTACAATTCTCACTGTTTGGTAGCAAATTTGTATGTGAACTTCTAAGCTGTTGCACTGAATATCTTTATTTTTGCCTAATTTTCACTGACAATTTTACATTTTAAACTTTTGCAAAATCTTGAACTTCAGTATATAGATATTGCATGTACAAAATTCTATAAACACCATTAGACTTCTTAAAACGTCTCTCTAGGTGTTGAAGATACAGTTTATTGGGAAGAGCACTGAATTGTTATTTTGTAAAGTAATTTACTTTTTCTATATGGTGTATAGTTGGGGGAGCGGGAACCTCAGTTTATATTATGAATTATGACTGTTTTACTAAATGTTCTTAAAGTTAGATTTTCTGATAAAGTATGTTATTAAACTGCCAGTCTTGTAATTGATATTTCCAGTCAATGTAATTGTTCTCTTCTATCTTTATACTGATTACAATATTACAGCAAAAATACCTTTTGTTTTTTAAAAGCCTCACTAACCTCAGGTTTTGACACTTTTAGTTGTGTTTAGTTTTAGACATGTATAGGTTTTGATAGGACCAAATTTACAGGGGAGCAAGCAATTAAAATTGTGTGTCTCCCCCCAATCAGCTGTCAAAATGTGATATTCAGATTATTAAAATAGCTATTTTGTAAGTATATACATGTCGCATGTATTTTTTGAGAAGTTTCACTAGGAATATATGGTTTATTCTCAAGTCTTTCAGAAAAATATTGGAGTAACAATGCTTTCAACTTCAGCGTGAGAGTCTTTGCTCAATGGAAAAAAAATTTAGGCAAAGCGTCAGTGCTGTTTGTGTCTGCCTCTTGTCTGTTTTGAAGAAAGCTTCCTTTAGTAATGGAAATATATTCTGATGTTTGCATCCTTTGCTGTTACTTTGAATCTTTAGATGGAAGATCAGAATCAGGACATTCTGGACTTACTTTTTTAGCTGATAGTTACCAGATTCTGGTGCCCCTGTTAGTCAGATGAGTAACTGCATGTATGTTTCAACTTTGCTTTTAATACACATTGCTACTTTTAATATGTTTCCAGTGTCAGTATTTTAGATCCTTAACAGCAATAAGTGCAATAAAGTTGCTGCAACTCAAAAAATACGTTTGTTCGTATACTGCCATACACTTATTCATGCTAAACTTGGCAGCTAGTATGGAACAGTAGATATAATTTTCATCTAGTTTTAATCTGATTTTTGTTGAGCATGTTACATCAAAAAGACGACAAGAACTTTAGGTTTATTCATGAATTCAGGTTGCACTACAATTTTGTTTCTAAATAAAAATAAAAAATGTTCCAGTGCTCTCAGGTACAAATTTCATGTTCTGTATATTTTGCTTGTTTGTCTAGTTGATGTTATTGTCATTTAGGACTATGAGCAGTGTGACCTCTGACCTCTTGGATGAAATTAATGTTTCTTACAGTTGCTAATAAAAGTTTTATGTAATGATAGTGCTGCAGTGTTTATGTTCTAGTTGACATGTTAATCTAGCCATCTGTATTCTTACCTATTTTGAGTGCCTTAAAGCATTGAAGTGTCAGTAATACAGTCCAGTGTACATACTGTGATCTGATGAGTTCATGAGCAGGAACATAGTTGATTTATTTCCTCAGAAGACTTCATATAGAAGTCTGAGTGATACTGATTGTATACTGGTGTTTGGTTAATTAGTCTTAATGGCAAATTCTGCTTTTTGAACAATATGAAATGCTTTTCAGCGATCAGTTTCTCTGTAGTTAGTCCAATTATTACCTTCAGACTGCTTAGAAGGCCGTTTTTCCCATTGAGGCAGAATGTCACAGAATCACAGAATGGTTGGGATTGGAAGGGACCTCTGGGGATCGTGTTGTCCAACCGCCCTGCCAAAGCAGAGTCACCTGAAGCAGGCTGCACAGGACCGTGTGCAGGTGGGTTTTGAGTATCTCCAGGTAAGGAGACTCCACAACCCCTCTGGGCAGGTTGTTCCAGTGCTCTGTCACCCTCAAAGTGAAGAAGTTCTTCCTCATGTTCAGGTGGAACTTCCTATGCTTCAGTTTGTGCCCGTTGCCCCTTGTCCTGTTGCTGGGTACCACTGAGAAGAGTCTGGCCCCATCCTCTTGACAACCACCCTTAAGAAATTTATAAGCATATATAAGGTCCCCTCTCAGCCTTCTCTTCTCGAGGCTAAACAGGCCCAGCTCCCTCAGCCTTTCCTGGTAGGAGAGATGCTCTAGTGCCCTAATTGTCTTCGTAGCCCTCCGCTGGACTCTCTCCAGTAGCTCCTCGTCTTTCTTGAACTGGGGAGCCCAGGTCTGGACACAATATTCCAAATGGGGCCTCGCTGGCGCAGAGTAGAGGGGGAGGAGAATCTCCCTTAACCTGCTGGCCACACTGTTTTTTAATGCACCCCAAGATACCATTGGCCTTCTTGGCAGCAAGGGCGCACTGCTGGCTCATGGGTAAGTCGTTGTCCACCAGCACTCCCAGGTCCCTCTCCGCAGAGCTGCTCTCCAGCAGGTCCGCCCTGACCCTGTACTGGTGCATGGGATTATTCGTCCCCAGGTGCAGGACCCTGCACTTGCCCTTGTTGAACTTCATCAGGTTCCTCTGTGCACCCAACTCTCCAGCCTGTCCAGGTCAGGCTGAATGGCGGCACAGCCTTCTTGTGTGTCCACCACTCCTCCCAGTTTGGTGTCATCAGCAAACTTGCTGAGGGTGCACTCTAACTCTTCATTCAGGTCATTGATGAAGAAGTTAAACAAGACTGGGCCCAGTACTGACCCCTGGGGAACCCCCCACTAGCTACAGGCCTCCAACTAGACTCAGTGCCACTGATCATAACTGAGTTCTGCCATTCAGCCAGTTCTAATTCCACCTCACTGTCCACTCATCCAGCCCACACTTCCTGAGCTTCCCTAGGAGGATGTTATGGGAGACTGTCAAAAGCCTTGCTGAAGTTGAGGTAGACAACGTCCACTGCTCTCCCCTCATCTACCCAGCCAGTTCATCATAGAAGGCTGTCAGATTGGTCAAGCATGATTTCACCTTGGTGAATCCATGTTGACTACTCCTGATAACCTTCTTTTCTTCCAGTTGCTCAGAGACGACATCCAGAATGAACTACTCCATCACCTTTCCAGGGATGGAGATGAGGCTGACCAGCCTGTAGTTCCCTGAGTCCTCCTTCTTGCCCTTTTTGAAGAATGGAGTGACTTTGGCTGTTCTCCAGTCCTCAGGCACTTCTCATGTTCTCCAAGACTTCTCAAAGATGGTGGAGAGTGGCTCAGCAATGACATCTGCCAGCTCCCTCAGCACTCGTGGGTGCATCCAGCATGGGTGTAGCCCATTCCTATTTGGAGAGTTTATAATTAAAGTTCAGTTTTTCTGAAATTGTTGTCTCTAGTGGAGAAATTGTTATTTTTGAAAGTAAAATATTAGTGCAAAGTTTGGCATTGTCAATGCATGGTATAGTTTTAGGTGGTTTTGCTTTCTTATGCTCCAGATACTCTTGAGGCCGTGATTAATGTAGGTAGAGATTTCTAATAATTATGGTGTTTTTAAATTTTCATTTAATAGCTTTGTTTTTGCCTTTAAATCTTTTCTTTTATGCTTGTTGAACTTCTCGTTGGTTTTGATTGGTTTTCTTATTCTCCTGGCTGCTCTTCTTTCCATGGAACTTCTTAACTTTTAAAATAATTTTAGTGCCTGAACTGGTCATGCACCTAAATCTATGTCCTACAGATTCCATTGGAAAGTACGTACAAGTAGTAGGTGGTAATGTGTAGTACTTGAACTCGGTTTTGCCATAGATTTTATGCAAATTAAAGTTCGAACAAGTGACTGAAGCCAAAGGGCATCAGCATTATATGTTTATTGTGGATCTTGGTGTAGGATTGATACCTTACTAAACAACTTTGGATCTTGTTAAGTAGCTAGATTTTCATATATAAATACTTTTTCATTTGCATTTGCCTCAGTGTTTTTAGTGGTCTTGAAGAAGCAGGACATGCTGTTCAGTGTTTAAGGAGCAGAGGTAGGATTTTTCTTAAATTTGCAATTCTGAATCCTGAAGCGAGCCTTGAATTAATAGAAACCTGCAGGCTGAACACTGCAGAAGGTGCATAAGTGGTGGATAAACCTGAATTCCAATTAATGTTCAGCAGAGATGATTTATTTCCATGCTTGGAGAATTTTACACTTTTGTTTTTATAAGCAAATAGTAATGTGTTACTATATTTGCTTTTTAAATGAAACAGGTATTTTAATAATTTCCTTAATTATTCCTTAATTTTCTTACTGAGAACCGGATTTATGTTGTCAGTGACAGGCTTAATTGTCTTAGAATACTGCATAATATTATGGTATATGGCATTTTTGTGTAACAAGTCCGTGTTTGGCCTTTGCACTGAAGTGTTTCTGCTTTATGAATGTTAGAATTCTTGTTAACTATATCTGTCTATTTTATGCTTAATACAGTGAGCTTTTTTATTCATGTAAGTATATAACTTTTTCCACCCATTTTGCAGCTAGTGTGTATCTTTGTCCAATACAGGTTAATTTTGTTATTTGTTTTGGAATTCACATATTAACATTGCAAAGTACATGAGTCTGTATTTGTGTCTGGGCACAAAGAAGATGATATTAAACTACATGAACATACTACTTCTGGTATTCGGACTGTATACTCCTAAGGTATTTTGTACATAAATTTGTTTTGTACATAATTTTTAAGTGGCTGTGGGATATTTTTAAGACAAAACTGACTTGTGCACGTTGCTTTGTGTACCTAAATAAAATGCATATTCTTAAAGGACTCACTCACAGTTTCTTGTTTACTTACCTGATGATATGATGGAGTATTCTATAATGATTGTATCATTGTGGAAACAGGCTCCAGCTCTTGTTGAGG